ATCTGGGCACGTTGCTTCTAATTTTAGGCCCCTTTTCGGGAATTTTGCGAAACGGTGATTATGGTTCTAAACGCGTTCAAATCCTATATATAGATTCTAGATGTTCTTACGCGCAGAAAGACATGAAATTTAGAAGTCCTGAGCCGGCAGAACCCAAGATTGCAACATGATAGGAAACCAGTGCCAAATGCGTTTTTCGGGCGACGAAAAATGCATGTGGAATGCCCTCAGATGCATGTCGGGGAAATGTTGGTCGTAAAATACCAATAGACATGGATGTCCAAGCGCTGCCCGAATGCATTTTGCCAGGCCTAAAAAAAGCATTTGGTCTTGCTTGCCACATTTGCAACGCTGTGCTCTTTTTGTGCACTTTTTAGAAGGCGAAAACAGCTGAATGCATTAAAGCACGGGCGAGAAATGCATTTGGACAGAGGCTTCTTCTGTACGCAGCCTCTGTCTTTGCGACAAAAGATCAGCTTTTAACTCAATTCGATTGTGGGTTGTGGAAGGAGCAAGCTGCGCGAATGCATTTTGCCCGCTTTGAAAAATGCATCTGAGCATGTTCTTTCTGATTCTGGGTCCACCCTGCCTCCGCCCCTCTCAACCCCTGTCGCTCATGATCAGAGACCATCGGAGACCACGGACCCAAGCGCGTGACACCCCCCCAGTCCCTGTCGCTCACCACGGACCCGAACCGCGTGACACCCGCCCGGCCCCATTGCGCTCATGGTCGGAGACCATGGGAGACCACGAACCCAAGCGCGTGACACCCTCAACCCCTGTCGCTCATGATCGGAGACCACGGACCCGGACCGCGTGACACCCGCCCGCCCTACTGCACGCGCTCGTGATCCGAGACCGTGGGAGCCCGCGGACCCAAACGCGTGAACGCCCTCTCAATGCCTGTAGCTCACCACGGACCCGAACCGCGTGACACCCGCCCGGCCCCATTGCGCTCATGATCGGAGATGTTGGGAGACCACGAACCCATGCGCGTGACACCCTCTCAACCCCTGTCGCTCATGATCGGACACCATGACAGACCACGAAACCGGACCACGTGACACCCGCCCAGCGTGCTCAGAGACCATCGGAGACCACGGACCCAAGCGTGTGACACCCCCCCAGTCCCTGTCGCTCACCACGGACCCGAACCGCGTGACACCCGCCCAGCCCATTGCGCTCATGGTCGGATACCATGGGAGACCACGAATCCAAGCGCACGACACCCTCTCAACCCCTGTCGCTCATGATCGGAGATCACGAAAGACCACGAACCCGGACCGCGTGACACCCGCCAGCCCCATTGCGCTCATGATCGGAGACCGTGGGAGACCGCGGACCCAAACGCGTGAACGCCCTCCCAATGCCTGTAGCTCACCACGGACCCGAATCGCGCGACACCTGCCCGGCCCCATTGCGCTCATGATCGGAGATGTTGGGAGACCACGAACCCATGCGCGTGACACCCTCTCCTCCAACCCCTGCCACTCACCATGGACCCGAACCGCACTCGTCCCGCCCCATTGTGCTCACCATGCGAGACCGTCCAGGCGCGCGACACCCTCTCAACCCCTGTCGCTCATGATCAGAGATCATGGGACACCACGGAGCCGGATCGCGGGACACCCGCCCATGAGGAGACCATGGGAGACCACGAACCCAGCGCGCGACACCCGTCCATGGGAAATCACGGACCCGAACCGCGCGACACCCGCCCAGCCATTGCGCTCATGATCGGAGACCACGGAAATCCACGGACCAAGCGCACGACACCCTCCCAACCCCTGTCGCTCATGATCGGAGACCACGAAGAGCCAGCCGAACCCGGACCGCGTGACACCCGCCGAGATTGTGCTCGCGCTGGGAGATCATGGGAGTCCATGAACCCAAGCGTGTGACACCCTAGAGACTATGGAGAACCCTGTCGCTCATGATCCGAGACCGTGGAGATCACGGACCCAAGCGCGTGACACCCTCCCAACCCCTGTCACTTCACAGACCCTACCCGGCCCTATTGCGCTCATGAGGAGACCATGAAAGACCACGGACCCCATTCTGAGGGAAAAACCACAGGCCCGAAGTGCGTGACACCCAAGGCTCCAGTACCCCCAATTGGCCCAATTGTGCTCATGATCGGAATTCGTGCTCATGATCGGAGACCATGGGAGACCATGGGAGACCACAGGCCCGAAGCGCGTGACACTCACCCCGGCCTCCAATGGCCCACCCGCCCGGCTCATGATCGGAGATCATGGGAGGCCCCAATTGTGCTCACGACCGGAGACCGTGGGAGACCGCAGGTCCCAAACGCGTGGACGCCCGCCCACGACCACAGGCCCGAGCGCGTGACACCCACCCAGCTCATGATCGGAGACCATGGGAGACCACAGGCCCGAAGCGCGTGACACCCGCCCGCCAATTGGCCCCTATTGCGCTCATGATCGGAGACCATGGAGACCACAGGCCGCGAAGCGCGTGACACCCACCCGGCCCCAATTGGCCGCAATTGTGCTCATGATCGGAGACCACGTGGGAGAGCACAGGCCCGAGCGCGTGACACCCACCCGGCCCCAATGGCCCCAATTGCGCTCATGATCGGAGACCGTGGGAGACCACAGGCCCCGAAGCGCGTGACACCCACCCGCCCCCAATTGGCCCCAATTGTGCTCATGATCGGAGACCATGGGAGACCGCAGGCCGGAGCGCGTGACACCCACCCGGCCCCAATAGCCCCAATAGGCCCGAAGCGCGTGACACCCCCTAACACGTGACACCCACCCGGCTCATGATCGGAGACCATGGGAGACCCCCCAATTCCGAGCGCGTGCCACCCACCCAGCTCATGATCGGAGACCATGGGAGACCACAGGCCCGAAGCGCGTGACACCCGCCCGCCAATTGGCCCCTATTGTGCTCATGATCGGAGACCATGGAGACCACAGGCCCCGAAGCGCGTGACACCCACCCGGCCCCAATTGGCCCCATTGTGCTCATGATCGGAGACCACGTACAGGCCTGAGCGCGTGACACCCGCCCGGCCCCAGCGGCCCCAATTGTGCTCATGATCGGAGACCATGGGAGACCGCAGGCCCGAGCGCGTGACACCCACCCGGCCCCAATAGCCCCAATTGTGCTCATGATCGGAGACCATGGGAGACCGCAGGCCCGAGCGCGTGACACCCGCCCAGCTCATGATCGGAGACCATGGGAGACCACAGGCCCGAAGCGCGTGACACCCATCCGGCCCCAATGTCCCCAATTGTGCTCATGATCGGAGACCATGAGAGTCACAGGCCCGAGCGCGTGACACCCACCCGGCCCCAATGGCCCCAATTGTGTTCATGATCGGAGACCATGGGAGACCACAGGCCCGAAGCGCGTGACACCCATCTGGCCAAGCGCGTGACGCTTTTTCTTTCTGAGGAGAGGACCCCAAACGGTTCCTGTTTGGGGAATTAATACTAATAGTGTTCTCTTTAACGCGGGAATTATAAGAATGAAAGGGACACACATTAATTTCTACGGGTGTTATAGTGTGTGCTAAAAGCCCGTCCAGTAAAGATAGGTCTTTTAACGGGGCAATAATCATATCTTCACGGCCGGTCAGTGAGGCAGTAAATCTATAGTTAAAGACCCAGCGAATACAATGAATGAACGAATTAGAATGAAGAACACACTCATTTCATACTATTTTCCCCTTTAATAGTGTAATTCTTGGTATTCAAGGGGCTAATAATAATATTATAAGGGCGTTCTCTATTAGTATTACTAGCCCAATATTATAATGTAGAGCGCGTGACATAAAATATAATTGCGCGTGCTCCTTTAATTTAATAAGGGAGTTACAGTACTAGCGGGTTTCGTTCATGTGCTCACTGCGTTCATTCATTCGCAGGCTCATTCATTCTCTTATTCACACACTCTCTTCACTTAATAAACCCAGTTGTTAAGGTGTGTAAAAGGGCCCCTATAATAATATAAAAGTACTAATAAAGGGGCCCGTATATTTCGTTCATACATTTCATATGCTTCACGCGTTCGTTTCACTTCCTTGTAAGCACATTCATTTAATTCACTACATATAATACGGGCGATATAATGTGTGCCCGTCCCGTTCATTGCATTCACTCGCGAGTATACGAAATAAGCCCCATTCATCTCTCTTGCCCGCCTGGTAAATATAATATCGTGCACTTATTATATTATAGTAGCGGCCCCCGTGAATAGAATGTTGGGGCCGTTATAATATCGTCTTTCATTCTTTCACTTTCTTATTTATTATCTCCTTTTATTAATAGAAAGAAGTGAGTGAAATAAAGTAAACGAAGTGATGAAAGTAAAATGAGCTAGGAAATTTAATATTGAATTACGTTCGTTATAACACCTTAGAATTATATTATAAGCGCACACTACGTTCATTATATTATAAGCACACACTATTATTATATTAAAGGAGCACGCGCAATTATATTTTATGTCACGCGCTCTACATTATAATATTGGGCTAGTAATACTAATAGAGAACGCCCTTATAATATTATTATTAGCCCCTTGAATACCAAGAATTAATTAATTGAATCTTTATGAAGATCTAAAACTAATGTTTATAGCTGTATAAGATTGTTTTAAATATACATATATATATATATGATATAAAACCCTCGCGAAGTTGCCATTGAAGTCATGGGGAAGACTCGTCATCACTGTTGTGATCTGTGCCAGCCGCTTGTCCTGCTGCGTTCACGTTCTCAGTCTTCCTAATTTCCCTTTGCCTCTCCCTTTGTCCGATGTCCACCGATTGGTAGTACCTCGTCCTCGCGAGGTTCAGGTCCGCGAGCGCGCTTATCATGCGGCAAAAGTCGGGAGTGACGTTGAGAAGACTTAGCATGAGCACCAGCACCACTTGCATGACATCAAACGGCTACGGCTCAAGGGTTTCCTACGGGGCATCACTCTCAGAACCTCATCGGCGAACTTTCCCAGGAGGCGGTCTTGCCATGGCGCTCGAAGGTGTTTCTCCGGCCGTCTTGGAGGTCAGACGTCCCAGTGTTGGGGAAGTTTCCTGCGATCATTCTTTATGGTAGTAGGGTCAGACTATCAGGAACCCTGAAGTAAGGAAGTCCGAAATTCCAAAAACACCCACAACTGCAATACCTACAACTGTAATACGACTTGTGTGAGGCCAAGACCCAACTCCGACCAAAGTCGTGTTACGCCGGAAGTTTGCTGGTTCTCCTGGGCTTGGTCTTCGTGGTCTCGCAGAGGGTCCCCCAGTTTGCAACCGAGGGCACCAATCGGAGATTGTCTGAGGCGACGTCGGCCCAACTTGCCAGCTCTGGATGCTGCCGCTTCGCCAAGGAATTCGAAGCCGTGGATTGGCACGATCCGAAGACCCGGGCGGACTACATGGCGAATGTGATGTACATGGAGCGTGGTTTTCTTGGAAGAGCGGCTAAGCTTTCTTTCGATCCCGACACCGGCATGACCTATGACGGCGTTGCACTAGACTACAACACTGGGGAAGTCCAGCATGGATCTCTCAGAACTTTCTCGGCACCATCCAAGGAAGCTCTGCATTTGAGCCTTCTTGCTTTGGCCCTTCAGCCCGTCGAGGATGTGCCTGCGGAGCTGGCCACAGTGTATCCTCTGCTTTACAGCACCGACGAGGCACTCGACATCCTGGACAAGAAGGCCAAGACCATGGATGACTTTGATGCAGACTTCCCGGGTTTCGGCGGCTTCCTACCCTGGTTCTGCTCTCGTGGCATCAACAAGGCCGGGTACTGCAAGACCCTTGCAGAGCCTGGAACCAGGATGACTCCTGTCTCCGGCTGGGAAAGGACCCTGCCTGGCCTGGATAACGGCCAGCTTGCATTTGGCACTGCTGCCGTGGTGCATGTTCTGGAACGCCGGGCTAAGCAGGAAGGCACCTCCAGTCGCTTTGCCCAGACGGCCCGTCGCTGGAACGCTCGCTTGGAGCGGATGAGGGAATCCGTTGTCAACTTGTTCTACAATGGGGCCGGTTTGGTGCGAATGGTCAGCGAGCTCGACAACGTCACGGTCGATGTTGCAAAGAATGCCTCCAATGCTCACAACGAAAACGGCCTGTTTCTTTGGGATGCCTTCGAAGGCGAGATGATTGTTCTCTTCCTGGACATCTTTGGCAACTGGACCAAGTACCCAAACAATGGTGAAGAGGAGAAGAAGCTGATGTGGAAGATCAAAGCAGAGCATGTCGAGCCTGTCGTGTACACAGCCGCCGACGACACTAAGATGGTTCTACAGAAAGGGTATTGGTTCTCGGCACATGAACAGTGGAAAACCTTGCAGCTCCCTTACATGGACATCCCACTGGTCAAGCATCTTTTCGCAAACGGTGAGTTCGCACGCTTGGAGAATTCCCTGAAGGAGCAGCTGCCTGGCCTCATGGCCTCGGTGAATGCACCCAACGGCGTGCAGTGTGATGCGCATCCCTACTGCAGTGCTGTAGGAATCCCGTCCCTGGCTGGAGAGCCGGTTTTCAGCTTCAAGGAGTCAGAGACAGTCCTTACCCCCTATGCCGCTTTCCCTTCGATCTTGGTGGATCCAGCTGCCGGGCTTGCATGGTACAACCACATGCTGGCCATGCCGCGGGTGCAAACACCTGTTGGCAGCATTGAGTCATTCACAGTCTCTGGGAAAGCCGTTGCCCCCATGGCAACCTGGGATGCCAAAGTGACTACCGTTTTGGCCATGCTGGGCGGGACGGGGCCCCTGCTGCGCACGTACATGGAGGAGCGCGGGGTCTACGGCATCTTCGAAGATCGTGTGAAGTCCATGTACGAGCCGGTTTTCAAGCCAGTCATCACTTCTGTGATGCCTGGCAAGGCCTCCGTCGACGTGCATATCGCGCAGCTCCCAGAGCTGCCCTGGCCGGCGCCTCATCCCGCACGCAGAGAGTCCATGCCGGAGGACTTTCCGAGCTGCCGCTGCCTCGAGCGCGAGAGCACGCCTGGCTTCCTGCAGCCGAAGAATCCGTGAAGTGAGTAACGCAGTACTCTGATCAAGACATCCCTGGTCTCAGATTCTTGAAGTAGCCATAGGACCACGATTAAGACCTCCCTATACCACTAGCCTTAGAGCCCAAAGCCGTAAACCCTAAGCCCTCTTACAAGAGTCCGGGATTTCTACATCAGGTTCCTGCGAGGCCCCCAGGTGCTCTGGCCTTCTCAAGATGACAACAGGGTTGAAACGACACGGGGTTTAGGGGCTTAGGGTGTTGGCGGATTAGGGTTCAGGGGCTTAGGCTTTAGGATTTAGGGTTTAGGCTGTAGGGTTGAAGGTGTTTAGGGCCCAAGGTTTCGAAATTAGGGCTGTCGGCTTCGGGGTAGAGGTCTAGTAAACGTGGGTTTAGGAGTTAGGGCTTACTGAAAATGATCGGGTTTAGGGTTTGGGGTTAAGTGTTTAGGCCACAATATTTCACAGGGCTTAGAGCTTAGATTCAGAGGTTGAGAGCGCTTAGAATGCGAACTCTGCCATTTGGTGTTCTTGCTATGGTTCGACCGTTTCTGAAACTCCACAATCTTGAGACGCCCGGAAGCTGTAATTCATTTGCTACAAATACACATGCTTAGAACGGTGACGAGGCTGTCAATGATGTTTGGTTCTTGACTCTCTGGAACCAGCGGCCCATTGAGTGCATAGTGGTGGTTGTAGCGTGCAGGCTTACAGGCTGGCACGCCGCAGCTCCGTTTTTTGAGCAGCCCTTGTGGATCCAATCCGCTGAACAGCTTCATCTGCCTCGAATAGGGTGCTGCTATAGAATCTACAGCAGGGCCTGAATTTAGTCTGCGGAATTGCGTTTTCTTCTTCGGTTTTCCTGTTTGTGCGGGCTGGGTTTCGCAGGAGAACACTCTAAACTACATCCCATATCAAACCTAACCACAGCCGGAAGTCTTGAGATACCCGGCCGCAATAATTCGCAGGGATTGTATATATGTACATGCTTAGAACCTTGACGGTTTTGTCAGTGAGTTTTCTTTCTTGACTCTCTGGTCACTAGTGGCACAGACAGTCTGCATAGAGGTAGTTGTAGCATGCCTGCCACCAGTACTGGCGCTACAGCTTCTTCTTTTGAGCAGCCCTTGTGGCTCCATCCGCTGCACGCCTAACAGCAAAGGTGCTGCTGCAGAATACACAGTGGTGCGCGAATTCAACGTGCGGAATTGCAGACTCTGCAATTCCTTGGTCAAACCATGTGCCATTTGAAGGAAATCTTTTCCAGAGCACTAGTCCGTGTGTGGACCAACAGCAAGAAGCAGCACCTGCAATGCCCGAGCTGTGAGACTCTCGTTCAGCCATCAACCGCGTTTCGACATTGGAACTCCTGTGCGAACATCCCAAAAGAGCATACCCTGACGCCCCAAACTGCCCTGAACCCCAAAGCCTCTTAGCATCGGAGGCATCACCTTGATGGGCCTGGAGCGCGTCGGCTTCCTCTGGTATGCGCGTCGCATAAGTCTCCCGACCTCAAGAAGAGGAGCCTTGATATTATCGCGTAGGATTCTCGGCTAGTCGTCGTGGTAGCAGTGGTGGTACTTGTTGTTATGCATATTCTGATGATGGTTATTTGCAGTGGTGATAATAGTGGTAGATGGGGTGGTGGTAGTGTATAGCGGTAGCCATTAGTCGCAGTAGCAGTAGGAGTAGCACTTCTTCTTGTTAATGCCTGTTGTTTGTTACAGCGGTTGAGCACTCGGCGCGATGCGAAGCATTCCGAACAGTTGTTCGTGGTTGCGACACCAACGTACGGGTCTGCGAATGCCGGTCCTGGATCGTGGGCCTCACCCTAAAGCCTACATAGTTGTTTATGCGTTTAAGACCCTAAACCCTAAACCCTTACAGTAACCCTTAACCCTAAACCCTAAACCCTACATGACTCACACCCTTGGGGATCCTTGGCAAGATGGCCCTTCTTCGCAGGTGTGGAACAAGATCGATGGCAGTTGGGAGGAGCCTGAGGTGCATTTCGAGGCCATCACCTTGCTGAAGGGGGGTTTAGGGGTTTAGGGTTATTAGGGTTAAGGGCTTAGGGTCAAGGGTCATTTGATTGAAACCTACTGAAGAAATTCATGGCGGCCCTCCCTGTGCCCTAAACCCGAAAGCCTAAACCCTTAAACCCCCTAAACCCCTGAACCCTAATGGACCCTAATCCGGAGCACCCCAAACTTCACGTCGCCAGGGACAAGGCCACCCACCAAGCACCCCATGTGTTGGCCCCTTAAAACCCTGAACCCTAAAATCATCTGAGTTCCTGCACGTAGCACATCGACGCACCGAAGCGCCTGTTTGGGTGCTGTTGGAGGAGGCCAGAGAAGGGCACTTGTGTGGAGCTTGAGGCTTCAGGGGTTTAGGGCTTAAGGGGAACCGGAGGCTTGAGTGGTTCATTTCAGGGCCTAGGGAGGTTTTGGGACTTAGGGTTAGGGCATCCTTCATCCTCAGAATCTTGAGATTCTTGAGGCATATCAAGCTTCAAGCAGCCTATGAGAGGGCTTGCCTGGGACGCTGGAGACCTACAGTCTGATGTTTTTGTTTTCCTAATCTGTTTGGGCGGAGGTAGAATTAATTCTGAAGCTGTAGGTGCAAACAGAGCTACAGGTTCGTTTGCACCCCGAACCCACGCGCAAACCCGAAGCCCGAAACCCGAGTCCCGTAGAGACCTAGACGCTTCTGTAGATGGTTTCGGTTGCCGAAGCATCCCTGCCGAAGCATCCCGGGAGTTCTGGTCGTAAGCCCACCAGAGCTTGCTGTAATTTTTTGTCAAAGGGGTTTAAGGTTTAGAGCTGTTTAGGGTTTATCAAAAAGGGTGCCGCATCAAAATCACCAGATGCAAAACCACTGGGGTTTCTGGCGGCGCTCGGCTCCTCAAGCAATCCGATCCTTGATGCCTGCATGCTCCTGGGCGCTTGCAACGCCTTGACTGGGCCCTTTTGGGCCAAAACCCTCAACCCTAAAAGCCTAAAATCCCTAAACCCTCAAACCATAAACCCCAAAAGCGGACGAGACGGTGACAGCCCAAAACCCAGAGAAGCGGACGAGACCGTGACAGCCCAAAACCCCTACAGAAGCGGACGAGACCGTGACAGCACAAACCCGCTACAGAAGCGGACGAGACCGTGACAGCCCCAAAACCCTTAGAAGCGAACGAGACGGTGACAGCCCAAAACCCAGAGAAGCGGACGAAACCGTGACAGCCCAAAACCCTTAGAGAAGCGGACGAGACCGTGACAGCACAAACCCGCTACAGAAGCGGACGAGACCGTGACAGCCCCAAAACCCTTAGAAGCGGACGAGACGGTGACAGCCCAAAACCCAGAGAAGCGGACGAGACCGTGACAGCCCAAAACCCCTACAGAAGCGGACGAGACCGTGACAGCACAAACCCGCTACAGAAGCGGACGAGACCGTGACAGCCCCAAAACCCTTAGAAGCGGACGAGACGGTGACAGCCCAAAACCCAGAGAAGCGGACGAAACCGTGACAGCCCAAAACCCTTAGAGAAGCGGACGAGACCGTGACAGCACAAACCCGCTACAGAAGCGGACGAGACCGTGACAGCCCCAAAACCCTTAGAAGCGGACGAGACGGTGACAGCCCAAAACCCAGAGGGCAAAAATACGAATCAGAGACCAGAGGGTCCAATCAGAGACCAGACAGGCAGAAACCGAGACCAGATTCCAGAATCACCCCCCTCAGGATCAGAGACCAGACAGGGCCGAATCAGAGACCAGACAGGGTGGCATCCGAAACCAAAGGGACGTCAAGGGAAAGCAAAGGGTTCATTGTTGTAACCACTGGGTTGACCGAAGTCGCTAGCCACGGCTTCTCGCACTTCAGGATTTAACGTGAATGAGGGTTTGAGGTTTACACGTGAGGCTTTGGGGTTTAGGGTTTCGGGTTCACAGTTTAAGAAGCATCCACAACACAGATTCTTCCGTATCAGGGCAACCGAGGCATCGTGGGTTTGGAAGGGATTCGCTTGAAGCAGGCCTGCCCGAGGAAAATAGAAAAGCGGGGGGGTTGGGGGGGGCGCAGCCCCCCCCATTTGCAAACACAATGCGCGCATCATGGGTTTGGAAGCGATTCGTTTGAAGCAGGCTTGCCCGAGTAAAAAATACAAGCGGGGGGGTTGGGGGGGGCGCAGCCCCCCCCATTTGCCAAGACAATGCCCGCATCGTGGGTTTGGAAGGGATTCGTTTGAAGCAGGCCTGCCCGAGGAAAATAGAAAAGCGGGGGGGTTGGGGGGGGCTGCGCCCCCCCCATTTGCCAACACAATGCCCGCGTCATGGGTTTGCAAGGGATTCGTTTGAAGCAGGCTTGCCCGAGTAAAAAATGGGTTTGGAACGGATTCTTTTGAAGCAGGCCTGCCCGAGTGCCCGAGTAAAAAAAAACGGTACAAAATAAAAGCGGGGGGGGTTGGGGGGGGTTGCCCGAGGAAAATAGAAAAGCGGGGGGTTGGGGGGGGCGCAGCCCCCCCCCATTTGCAAACGCAATGCCCGCATCATGGGTTTGGAAGCGATTCGTTTGAAGCAGGCTTGCCCGAGTTACAAACAAGTTGGGTTGGTCGGGGTCGGGTCAGGTAGACTCCTCTGGGGCGGGATGCTAGGTCGTGAGTCGGGTCACGGGTCGGGTGGGTTGCTTGGTCAGGGGTCAGGGGCCGGTCGGGTGGGTCGGGTCGGGTTATTACTGCGTCACAGGACGGACCGTGCCGACAGCATTCTGCCACGAGGGTACGTCATGGTGGCTGAATGCATTGGTCTACTCTTTCGGTCGCTTCGCCCACTGCTGCGGGTCCCTGGCTGCTTGGGTTGGGTTGGTCGGGTTGGTTGGGTTGGTCGGGTCGATCGGATTGGTCGGAGCGGTCGGGCGGGTCGGGTCCGGTTGGGTTGGTCTGGTCGGGTGGGTTGCTTGGTCAGGGGTCAGGGGCCGGTGGGGTGGGTCGGGTCGGCTGGAGACGTGTCTGGTCTCGGAATCTGGGAGCC